GTCATGTTATTTTTTTCACAGCTACAAAACCCTAACTAAGACATACATTACCCACACGTAGCCACATATTTAGAAATCAAAATTAAAAATTGTTAAGTTGCCAATGCAAATAGGATCTCATACCTAATTTACTTACTGACATTTATATGGACAAATAAAATTACCTTTCAAACATTTTTCTTTCTCCTGGTCTCTCCTTTGCCTTGGCTCTTAAAAATGAGAAAAATGCAAACTAAGGGGGAAAAAAATCACAAAATATCAGTATCAACCAAAGCCATATGTATGATTGCTGTTGATTAGAGCAAAATTTAACAATGAATTTGTTATTTAAGAAATCAGATGAAAGCTAGGCGAGGCACATGCTTTTAATCCTAGCACCCAGGAGGCAGAGGCTGGTGGGTCTCTGTGAATTAGAAGCCAGCCTGGTCTACAGAGGGAGTGCCAGGACAGCCAGGGCTACATAGCAAGACCCTGTCTCAAAGAAAGGAAAGAAGGAGATCATATGAAAGCACTTTGCTATTTAGAAAGCCAGCATTTGGTCATTTATTTCATTTTCTCAAAATCCTTTGCAAGAGCACACTCATTTAAAAGAGGCAAACCATGCCTGGCCTTGAGCACAGTTCATTTCTGGGGTTGCTTGGTTCTTATTCTGGTCTTCACCCTTGTCTCATTCAGCTGACTGTTGAGTAAACCTGCTCATAGGCACTTAGCCATGAGACAACCAGGGGTACATAAAAAAGTAGGGTACACTTTAAGCTGCTCTCTGAAGGTGGCATCGCGCACTGTCATTAATCACAAGTGAAATATAAAGTTATGATTCACTCTTGCACATCCAATTTTGATTCTAAGACTGTGACATCATCTCTGGGTGTTTCTGAGCTCTGCTGTGGAGGATTTACTGTGTCACACACTCGGGAGTCATGCTTTCTTGAGACTAGACTCCATCTCAGCTGATTCATTGCTTAACTTGAAAATGCTTCCCAACCCCAGCTTGCATTTCTAAAGAATTATTTGGGCGTTTGTGACTATTCACAGGACTGTTGTATTTGGACTAGAACCCATTTCTGAATAATAATACTTTGCTTGCCCATATAAATATAGTTCTGATTTCAAATTGTGGCTTGAGTTCAGCTTTTGTAGAGAAATACTCAGCATTTCTGAGGGGAGGAGAGCAAGTGTTGCTGAAGAAAAAGATGAGTCTTCAGGGACTTTGGAATGGGTGTGGGATTTCCTTTTCTTCTAAGCCCTCAAAATTAATACATTCCTTCCCGTGCTGCTCTAAGTTCTGAGGTCCTTTTCTTCTTTTTCCTTTCTCTACTCAAATATCATGGTACATTTAAGCACCTGAGGTTGCCTTAGTTCAGGGACTAATAGTAAGTTTAAGACAATTTTGTTTGTTTGTTTGTTTGTTTGTTTGTTTTTCTAGATAGGGTTTCTCTGTGGCTTTGGAGGCTGTCCTGGAACTAGACCAGGCTGGTCTCGAACTCACAGAGATCCACCTGCCTCTGCCTCCTTAGTGCTGGGATTCAAGGCGTACACCACCAACACCCAGTGAGTTTAAGACAATTTAATCTTGTCACTTTGACCTATACGATGCTATGGTTTTCTGACTTACTTTATTCAAATAACTTTTATTAGAATCTTTGCTTTATGAGTTTTACTCTGAAGATGTTTGTTCTTCTTTCAGGCCTTTGTTTGGTTGTGATTCTTTGAGATAACTAAGGTCTCACTATGTTGCCCAAGCTGGGTTCAAACCCCCAGGCTCAACTGATCCTCCTACCTTGGCCTTCTTAGCATCTGGAACCACAGGTGCAAACCACAATGACCAGCTTAGTAAAAACAATATTTTATTTGTTGTTATTATGTGCACATATGATGTGCACTAGGTGTGTACACAGGCCTGCCATGGGGCATATAGAGATCTGAAGATAATTTTTGTAGAATCAATTCTCTCCTTCCACCTTTTTTGTGGATTCCAGGGACAAAACTCAGGTCATTAGTTTACAGAGCAGTGCTTTTACCTGCTGAACCATCTCCTGGCTCAGCGGCTTACTTGCTGCTTTCCTTGTTTGTTTAAACTGGGAGACAGTGTAATGTAGCTTTATGTGGTACGAACATACTATCCAATACAGATAAACTGTGAGCCACATGTGGTTCTCTCCCTCTTCCCTCTTTCCATCTCTCTCTTTTGAGAACGCATAGGCTGGCTTCACTGTGTATAGTTCAGGGTGCCTCAAATTAGGAATTTTTCTGCCCCAGGGTCTTGAATGCTTGACATTGCAAACATGTTGTAACTTCTGTTTTTAATGGCTACATAGAAATGGTTAAAAAAGAATAAAAATTAAATTACTTTTTGTTAAGATTACTTATTGGAACTGGAGAGAGAGAGAGCGCTCAGTATTTGCTCTTACAGGGGACCTGCATTTGATTTTCAGCACCCACATGGAAGCTCACACCCATCTCTTCAGTCTGTCCCAGGGGATGTGATGCCTTCTGGCTTCTATAGGCACTACATGCATGTGGTACACAGACATGCATGCTGGCAAAATACTCCTGCACATAAAAAACAGGCAAAATCTCAGTAAGATGATTATCTGTGTGTGTGTGTGCGTGCATGGGTTTATGTGCACCATGTGAGTACATGTCCGTGAGGGAATCAGACCCCTAGAGCCTAGAGTTCCATGTGTTAGTGAGACACCAACCATGTGGTCTCTGGGAACTAAACCAGCTCCTCTGCAAGAGCAGCAAGTGCTCTTAACCACTGAGCTTCATGAAATTAATTTTTATAATTTATTTTAAATAACGTGTTTCCTAATTGTTATCATTTTGGAATGCAATCAGTATAAAATTAATCAACATAATTTATAAGGGGAAGGTAGCAGGCATAGAGAGGAGGCTCATGGATAAGAGGGCTTGCTGTGCAAGCATAAAGACCTGTGTTTGGATCCCAGAATTCATCTAACAAGACTTTTTGGCTGCAGTTGTTCCTATAACCCTAGCACTGTGGGGGCTGGAGATCACAAGGCTTACTAGCTTTAGTGACAGACCCTGTCTCAGGGGACTAAGGCAGAGAGAGATAGAGTGACACCTGACACCCTCCTCAGACTCTACACGAGTGTACAGGCACATGTGCATAGAGTGGGGAGGTTTGGGCTGTTTCTCTGCTACCATTGTGGAGTCCTGGAGGAGGGGAGGTCTTTATAGGGACTTCTGCTTCAGCTTGCTGATTCCATGTTTTCCTGTGGCCAAGAGTGCTGTTCCATCTAGAATGCAATGCTGGGGAAAGCGACATGTGCCTGTACTATAAAGTACTTGAAGAGTCGAAAAAAATGTCTTTTACTAAGTCAGACTTCAGTAATAGCCCCCCTTCCCCTCTCCCTGCCTTTTATATCCAATTTCAGTTCCTTGCTGGAAAGACAGGAAAGTTTGTAGGAGATTTTCCAAATAACAAACCTTGGTTTTTATAATATGGTTATGGCAACCATCTCTATTTTGGTAAAGTTAGCCTATTATATGAATGACATTTTGTAATTTAGAAATTTGCAATTTAGAGAACCACAGGCCATTGTAAACCTTTAATGTGACTGCTTTATATTTGTCTTTAGTACTGTAAGTCAGCCTTCTAGCCATTGTACAGGACAGAATGGAGACAACAGAGAGAGCTAATGTGTCTCAGAGGAAATTCATGCAAGGAAGTAAGTTAGGAACTTCAGAGTGAAGAGTGGTTATGAGTCCAGTCAGTAGAGTAGGCAGTCCTGTCAATAAAAGCCTTTCATTGGAGAGAGAAACACATGCAGAATTCTGTGGGAAGCAAGAGTAGGAAAATGCACCAGACATTGACGGTCAGTTGATTTTTCAGAATAGTGCCAAAAGAACAGGGTTTCACCATGTAATGCTGGGGCAGCGGCTGTCCCATGTAGAGAACACCTTCTCATACCACAAACAAAAATGAACTTGATAAGGATCAGGACCCTAAATTTTGTATTCAAAACCATAAAAACTCTTAGAAGACATAGGAGTAAATCTTCACAGTACTGGGCAAAAACAAGAAGAAGACAAATTAGACTTCATCAAAATCTAAAACTCTCATGTTTCAAAAGGCAATAGGAAATGTTATTGCAAGGCCTGGTGTCTGGTAAGGGGACTTGCCTAGCCATTCCCAGTCAGGGAAGGAGTGGGTGGGTGACTCTGTATTGGGACCTTACAAGCAGTCTCCTCTTGCCTTTGTCTAGGATGAACACTTTTACATTTCCTTAAAATCACTAAGCACCTCTTTGGCTCTACCGTCTGCTTCTAAGTAAAAGGTGTAGACTTGGATGGAAAGGTTTGGAGAAGTTCTTTAGCCAAGAGCTCTTGATCCTTTTGCACGATTAGCTCGTGCACAGGGGATCTCCTGATTTAATTTTAAATTTCGCCTTTAAAAACTGCCTGGATCCAACCATTTTACAGGTTTTGCTTATTTTTAAAGTACAAAGTTGGAAATCATCTAAGCATCCTTTTTAATCAGTCAAAAGCGTTGTAGCACGATTAGGATGGTAGAGCTTTTAACTGTGATTTGCTGTGTCCTTGCCCCAGAGTGCTTTGCCCTGTCAACTGTTCTAAGCCATGGTATGAGCTGGTTAGATACTCTTAGGGCTCATCAACAACAGAGCCCAGCCAAGAAAACACAGCAAGGAAAATCTAAAGTTGTCATTTCTATTTCCTCCCATTAATTGAGAGTTGCTCTGGATATACATTGTGCAAGAAAGCAATAGTGACCATTTGTTCTTTGCCTGTAAGTGAAACTTGTTGTGATTTTTACACTGCTATTAAGGAACTTATTGTTTTACTGGGGGCAGACCATGTGAAATCCTGCATCCCCTGCCTTCTCGGCAATTTCTGTCCAGGTTCCTCGAACCAAGGAAGAGATGATCGCAATTGGAATAGGGCATACACTCACATTTCTAAGTAGGTCTGTCCAGGCTGGCTCACTAATGCTGTCTTTATCCACTTTAAAACAGATGCCCTCCATGAAGAGATGCTGGATGATGCGCAGAAGAAGTTGATGAACTTAGTGAGCAGCACAGAAGGAAAAGTGGACAAGTGAGTGAGCATTGCCTGTTTTTTTTGTTTTTGTTTTTGTTTTTGTTTTTTTGAGACATGTTTTCCCAGTAGCAATGGAGCCAGCCCTGGAACTCGCTCTGTAGACCAGGCTGGCCTCAAACTCACAGAGATCTGCCTGCCTGTGCCTCCTGAGCACTGGGATTAAAGGCGAGGGGGCACCATTGACCATCCTTGTTTTTGAGCATTGCCTCTTGACTCTTTCTGAGTTATAGGAATAGCTTTTCAGAGAACAGTGGAGCTATGGCAGATGTTTACATGTGACCACATTTTCAAGAAGGTGTTTGCTTTTCTTATATAGTGAAGCGTAGGTAGTTTTCATGACAGTCAATAGAGTAACTTACGTTCTTTTATTTTTAAAGTCTGTTTCTCCCAACTCATTTCTTTTCTCAAAGCCATATTCAAGAGTTAATTTTTTTTTTTTTTTTTTCTGCAGGGCAGTGGCACACGCCTTTAATCCTAGCTCTTGGGAGTCAGAAATAGGCGGATCTCTGTTAGCTCTAGGATATCCAAGGCTACACAGAAAAACTCTGTCTCAGGGGGAAAAAAAAAGATTACTCGTATATGAAATACTTAGAAAATAAAAGGTTTATTTTTAATATTCCCCTTTTTTTTTATTTTTCCCCCCCCCCCCCCCCCTTTTTTTTTTTTTTTTTTTTTTTTGAGATGGGCTTTCTTTGTATAGCTCTGGCTGTCTTGGAACTCATTCTGTATACCTGGATGGCCTGGAATTCAGAGATCTATGTGCCAGCCTCTGCCTCCCAAGTGCTGGATCAAAGGCATGCACCACCACCGCCTGGCATATTTTCCTTTCTTTACTTCCCTTAAGTGAACACATCTAACCTGTTTGAATGTATTGGCCTGAAACCTACTTATTTTTGCAATAATATCTCACTTAATATTTTAAAATATAAGATATTATTTAAAGTCCTTAATAAATATGGTTGGGGCATATAACATTTATATCCATTTTTCATGTCTCTCAGATGAGAATCAACTCATTAGGTATTGAAAGCTACCTATGAGATACCTCCTCGGTTAGTTATGGGTCTAAAGAATTGGTTGGCTATTAGTGTTTTTTTATTTTAATTTATTTTTATTTTATGTGTATTAGTGTTTTTCCTATAGATATGTCTGTGTGAGGATGTTGGGTCCCCTGGAACTGGAGTTAGACAGTTGTGAGCTGCCATGTGGGTGCTGGGAATTGAACCTAGGTCCCCTGAAAGAGCAGCCAGAGCTCTTAACTGCTAAGCCATCTCTCCAGCCCCTAAAAGTGATTTTTTTTTTTTAAGTGTGTGTTTTGGTTTGTCTGAAATATTCCCAACTAGACTTTTTAAAAAGCCACTTTAGAATACCTTATATTCAGTCTTTAATTAAGCATCTCATTGTTTAAATATAAGTAAATGTTTGTTTAGTGTATGGGTATGTTTATCTTAGGTAGGCCATGTTAGCTTGACACAGGCTATTTCTGCCTTGCTTTTATAGAGTCCTCATGAGAAACCTCTTCATTGGTCATTTCCACATACCTAAAAATCAACGTCATGAAGTGCTGAGACTAATGGGAAGCATCCTGGGTGTTAAAAGGGAGGAAATGGACCAGGTAACCAGACAGTAAAACCAATCTAATCCCCAACCTCACTCTCTGCTCCGCTCTCCCCCCTCTCCCTCCTCCTTCTCTTTCTCTTTTACTGGGGATGGAGCCTAGCATGTCTTTCACTAGGTAAGCATTCCACCACTGAGCTACATCCTGGTTCTCACACTAAATATGTTTATAATTACATTTATAATATAGGGGCATAGTGGAAAATAGTTTATTTTCACTATATATAGAACAGGTTTAATATAGTTTTCTTAATCAAAGAGGTAGGTTTGTTCAGTTTGTGTGATATTAGTGTAAATATTTTATAACTTATACACTAGTTCTCAGACCACATTATTGACATTTTTGAGACATAACCATACCCAGAACATTTATTCAGGTCTGTGCTGGGTAGTGTTTTATTTTCTCTGTAACCTCTGTTAGTGGTAGGAAACCTTTACTAGAATTTGAAGTATAAAATGTGATTTACTGTTCCCTGAAACCGCATAAGAGAGGTTCTTGTTTTTCTTGTCTTATGTTGATAATATTTTTCTGTTTAAAAATGTTCTTGCAGTTGTTTGCCGAAGATCAAGGAGGTGTTACTCGGTGGATGACTGGATGGCTTGGAGGAGGATCGAAAAGTGTGCCCAATACACCTTTGAGACCAAATCAGCAGTCTGTGTTCAATAGTGTAAGACCCAGTTTTACTCTTGCTGAACATGAATGATGAAATGATTAAAATCACACCCATTTGCATGGTATCAGATTTCTTTTTACATCATCTAATTCAACCCTAGTAACATAACCAAATATTTTCTCTTAGTCCTTTTCAGAACTTTTCGTTAAGTTTCTGGAAACAGAATCTCATCCGTCCGCCCCACCCCCAAAGCTGTCAGTTCATGACTTGAAACCTCTGGATTCTCCAGGTAGAAGGAAAGTTGACGCCAGCATACCTGGAAGCTCCAAAGGTAAAACTAGACACTTGATTTTCCCTCAGTGGTAAAAATCAAATGTTTAACTTAAGATTTAGATTTATAGTGACATTACATTTTTAGTGTTTTTGAAATATGTAATACTGCTTCCAAAATTCTAATATCACTAAATTTGGGCCTTATTTGTTGTAGTACCGTGTTATTTATTTGCTTTAATTAATATAAATAGCATAAAATATTTTCATCTTTTTGTGTCAAAATTATTCTTTATGAGAATTATTTTGTCTTTATAAGAAACCTTTCATTGGTTACTTTCACACACACAACCAAGTAATAGATATTGCAGTATATTTATAGACATTATAGGAATCTGTGATTTTTATTTGCTTTAATTGTAAGCCGCTTTGAATTACTCTTCTAGAAATGGTAGTGAACTAGTTATATCTTTGCTTTGTCACCTGTTTTCATTTCTCTCTGATAGTAGTTATTAGTAATCAAAGTTAGACGCATATAGTTTGAAAATGATTTTCATCTTTGGACTTCTCATATTCCAAAACCAAACCTTGTCACATAAATAATATGTCACATAAATAACATAAATAATAAGATTGGTTTAGTTAACTGACCTAAACATCCAAGAATAAAAGCACCCTTGGGTGTGCAAAGATCTGTCTGGAAGGAAATTTTTGTTGGCTACATGTGTATATGTTTTTGATCCCACTGAGTTGTAATGGTCTTATTTATTTCACATTGATGATACTGGCATGTAGTAAAATATCTGGAGTTGGAATTGAATTATCCACTAGACTGTAAACCAACTCTTTTTTCCCTGTAATTTTCATATTTTAATTTAGAATCATATATTTTAGTATAGACTTAAGGTATATATCATATGCTTCATAGTTAAATTTGGATTAAATATTAAAGAATTTATGTTTTAGATTTTGTTGTTGTTTGTTTTTCGAGACAGGGTTTCTCTGTGTAGCTTTGGAGCCTATCCTGGCACTCGTTCTGGAGACCAGGCTGGCCTCGCACTCACAGAGATTCGTCTGCCTCTGCCTCCCGAGTGCTGGGATTAAAGGCGTGCGCCACCAACGCCCGGCCTGTTTTAGAATTTTTAAAGCTTTTCTTATTTAGACAGATAATTTCTGTTTTTCTGAACTCTTATATGAAGGTGGAGTAATAAAGTTTATCTGTCATTAAGATAAAAGGTTTGGGGGTGCTGGAGAGATGGCTCAGAGGTTAAGAGCACTGACTGCTCTTCCAGAGGTCCTGAGTTCAATTCCTGGCAACCACATGGTGGCTCACAACCATCCATTATGAGATGGTGCCCTCCTCTGGTGTGCAGATATACATGGAAGCAGAATGTAGCATACATGATAAATAAATAAAATTAAAAAAAAAAAAAAGGCATTCAAAACCAATGCCCAGCCGAGCTGTGCTTTAAAAAAAAAAAAAAGTAAAAGGTTTGGCTGCTAAATTCAGTTAAAAGTTGTCACTCTCAGGTACAGACTATACTGAGGACATTTTTCTTTTCATTTTGCAATAGGTTTAGCTTCTTAAAAGAGATTCTCACATTCTTTATCAAAAGGTCTCCACATTTCTCTGCCTTTCCCATCATTTTATCTCCCCTCCATTCGTCCACCCCTCCCTCCCATCGTCCATCCATCTATCCATCCATCCATCTATCTGTCCATCCATTTCTCTTTTCTTCATCGACTGAGCTCAGCTTGATGTATGTATCAGTTTGAGGTAGGCTGAGTTGTAGCAGGGTTTGCATGAAGAACACAAGCTTAGTATTCATACTGTATTTACTAGTTTGTGGAGTTTAGTGTCCCCCTGTGTTGACAGAGAGTGTCCCCCTGTGTTCACTGTGTGTAGAGTGTCCCCCTGTGTTCACAGTGTGTAGAGCTTAGCAAGCAGCATAGGAGCTTTTCCAGTTTGGAAACTTGTTGGTCATAGGAAGTCCAGCATGAGAACCCAGAAGTGCTCTGCAACAGCTGCATATAATGAGTTTAGTTCTGTCTTTGTCTTAGTGCCCATTTTTTAGTTTCCCATGGCTTAAGAAGGGACCTCCCAGGGTTTGCCTAGCTTTCATCAGTGGAGTTATTAGTGTTCTTGGGTAATAAGGCAGAATTATAGCCACTAAGACAGGTCATAAGCCAAACACCTAGTCTTATGAAAATGACTGCCCAAGCTGATAGAGAAATAATACCACTGATAATGTTCTCCAGCCTTCATATGTCTAAAAAGATGATTGAGTCATATATGCATACATTATTTGCTCCTCTGGAAAATTAGTTTTAATTACTATTGCATCACTATAATAATATGGTATGCCACCAGCATTTTTCATAGCTATCACAATCACTGGGAAGTCTAAGTTCTCAAGTCCTTCATCTTTCTGGTAGGTATGAGAAGTAACCCTGCAACTTACACACCATTATTTCAAAACTGTTAAGCAAGTGAAGCTTTCCGTTATACAGCTATATTATTTGAGAATAAGAAACTTTAATCAGTGTTTTAGTGCTTACAAATACTCTTCTGTTTCTTTTGTACCTTTCCTTTTTCTTCATTTCTTCTCTTTTATGCTGGGGTCTCTGGGACCACCATGACCTGCACAGTAATGATCATTGGGAGGCAGGAAGCAGCTCAGTTCTCTGACCTTGAGTAGTTTATTTTAGTCATTTTTAAGTACAGCACAATTTGGTGACATTTTTTTCTGGTGATAAATGATTCAGTCCCTGTACACAATAAAGTCCCTGTACACAATGAAGACATGACTGCATCAAAGCTCTTTGTAAACTACATATGAATCTTCCACAAAGATGGGTTCTATAGCCGGGTGTTGGTGGCGCACGCCTTTAATCCCAGCACTCGGGAGGCAGAGGCAGGCGAATCTCTGTGAGTTCAAGGCCAGCCTGGTCTCCAGAGGGAGCACCAGGATAGGCTCCAAAGCTACACAGAGAAACCCTGTCTTGAAAAACCAAAAAAAAAAAAAAAAAAGATGGGTTCCGTAGACTGACTTTATGTGGTACCTCCTATAAAGATAGTTTCTATAGGTTGAGAAGCACACTGTAAGGGTCTAGGGAGGATCCATTGTAGTCTTGGCTACACAGATAGCACAAAGGTCACCAAGATATTAGCCACATCCATCCTCAGCTTTTGGGTGGAAACAGGTTAGACATCCCTCCTTTTGAAGGAATGACCACATGTGTTTAGCGTCCCGCTTATCTGTGAACACAGGGACCTCTGTACCTCCCATACTTTTGCTTATCTCTGTTTCACAGATAGAGTCTGCTGTAGGATCCAGAACTCAGCAGCAATATCAGTTGAATTTGTAGGTAGCCAAATATGGAATCCCAGAGTACATGTGGCATTTTTTTTAAATCAGAAAATGCTTTGACGAGGAGTGAATTTTCATGAGGTTTTTTAAAATACACACTGGTATTCTTTAAATGTTACTTGTATATTGTGTGTACATGTGTCTATATATGTGAAAGTGTGTATACTTCATGCACACTTTTGGGGGTTTGATTCCCTCTACCACATGGGTTCTGGGGTTGAACTTAGATCATAGGTCATCAGGGTTGGAGGCTTGGAGGCAGGTACTTTTGTCTGCTGAGCCATCTTGCTGGCACATAAATTTGTATTTTATGCTTAGCATTTGAGGGTCTGTTGGTGTTCTAATTTTGAATAAAGAATAGCCCAAACCTGTGCTAAATAGTAGTGTTATGATCAGCAGGGTAGAATTTAAAAATTGATAGTAGTGATTAATTGATAAGTGTCAAAACTGAGCATGGTAGCACAGTTCCAGCTTACAAGGTAGAGACAGGAGGAGCATGCTCAGCCACTAGGTTCCTGGCCAGTCTGGACTAGACACCCCTAGAGATCTTAGGTTCCTAGCCAGTCTGGACTACACACCCCTAGAGACCTTAGTTAGGTTCCTGGCCAGGCTGGACTAGACACCCCTAGAGACCTTAGATTCCTGGCCAGCCTAGACTAGAGACCCCTAGAGATCTTAGGTTCATGGCCAGGCTGGATTAGACACCCCTAGAGACTTTGTCTCAACAAACCCCAACGACTATTTTGATGAGTTTGATAAAGTTATTGGAACAGGTTTCTTTACTGTGCTCAGAGGATTATTTCATGTCACCTCTTTGTGAAGGATAGAAACCAAATAATCTGTATCTTATCTTTTAGATACAGCAGAACCCAGGGCAGGAAGAAGGACAGATCTGAGTCCATTCTTGGCTCCCCGCTCAGCAGCTGTGCCCCTTATGAACCCAGCTGGACACGGACCTGGTGGGCCTGGGCATCTTCTTTTGAAACCGATCTCAGATGTTCTCCCCACGTTCACACCGTTGCCAGTGTCACCTGACAACAGCGCTGGCCTTGTACTGAAAGACCTTCTAAAGCAGTAGGAAGCTTTCAAGCCAGAGACTATCCAGCACTTTAGGAAATCATGAACACCGTATGTGTGAACTTGATCACAAAGTGGCCTTCTGGAAAGAGTCATTATTTGTTTGTAGTTGTAATTTCTCTGTTAATAAAAATATTCTTAATGCTTTTAGAAATTGCAGGTGTCAGAAGAGTAAGTAACTGCTATATAATCTGCTTTTTTTGTTCACTGTATAATTGCACCTAATTTAAAACTAGAAACATTTGGTTTACTTTTTAATTTACAGAACTCTTAAAATAACTATGTCTGCTTTTATCTCCTCAGATTTTCAAGCTCATTTAATATAGGGGCATGTGGTTTATCTTTCTTTTATTCCACCCTACCCCACCCCCCAAAAAAGGCATTGGATAAAGGCGGCTCTGCCCAGAGCAGAAGATGCTCTGCAATGTGCCTCAGCCACCACTGAGGCCTCTTGTGGGGAGGGGACAAAGCTGCTCTGGGAAGTGGTGGGTGCCCTGAGGCAACAGGGGTATTTGGTTCTGTGCCTGTTTTATCATATGTGTAGATTCATCTGGCCATCACAGTTAAGACCCAACCTCTCACCAAAGGGTCCCCTGAGCTGCCCTTTTCTAACCCTTGCTGCCCACCCTAGCCCCTGAAAACCACTAACTGTCACCCTCTATAATTTTGTTATTCTGTGGATGCTGTTTAAATGAAATTACATGTTAATGTAACCTCTTGAGATGAGTATTTTCATGTAGCATAATTCCCTTGAGATCTACCCAAGTTGTTTCATGGATCAGTAGTTTGTTTCTTTTTATTGTGGAGTACATGCTGTTAGTAACTAAATGGTATCATTTAGTTTCAGGAGCTTAACTGTCCTTTTTTTAAGTGTCATCTAAAACTACATGTTTCCAGCGGGGCCTGGGGTGTATGGTTAGTCTCAGCACTTGGGAGGCAGAAGCAGGCAGATTCTTAGGAATTTGAGGCCAGCCTAGTCTACACAGTGAGTTTCAGGCTAGCCAGAGCTACTGGGTCACTAGCCAGAGCTAGTGAGACCCTGTCTCAAAACACACACACACACACACACACACACACACACACACACACACACACACACACACACACACACACACACACACCCCACCATGAAAGCTTAAAGGGCCCCTTGCACAAATGCACAAAATCATGTAACTCTGTGTACGTGTTACGCTGTATGGCTGCATCCACATAAGCCTTAGACCACAGTTAGCAATATCTGGGGACCTACCACCTCCTGCCTCTGTCTGAGCTGCGCTGTGGTGCTCCGTGCAGTGCACCACCAGCACCAGGCGTTTGGAACTTACAGCCAGTACTACTGTACTTTTTTACAAAGCCGTTAGTTTTGAAAGAGAAAAATCCTGACTCACAGCTTTTGTTGTATCAGGATGTTCATATTTGTATTCGTTGTTGACATTGTACATTTAAAAGTCATTTCTTGCATATTTTCTAAGTTCAGATAAACCTTTAAAACAGAGAAGCCTGTATAGCAAGGAAGGGTAGAAACCAGACTAACTCATAAATGTCAACAGTCCTGGCACCTGTCATAGCTAAGTTGGGCTGTTTGTGAATTTACCTGTGATAAGCTGTGTATTTCTATTGTGTTTAAAAGACTGGAGGTTTTGGTTTTAATGATGTGTTGATGGTTAAATACCTTTTTCTGAAAAATTGAGTAACTGAGACAATGCTGCTTCCTGGTGTCACATGTGTCTTTAAACTAACTTATTTATATATAGTTCCTTTCCCCAATACATGTTAGAAAAAGTTGGCATCAGAGAAATGTTAAGCTGCTCCCACCAGTTTTGCCAATGTTACAGATGCCCCTCAACTTACAGTGGGCTCATGGCCCAGTAAGCCATTGTAATTAAAAACATCTGAAATAATCATTCATTTGCTGTACCCAACTGTCAGCCGGCCTGGCTTAACTTGGCTGCTTACTCTCAGGACCACACTAGGCTGACTGGGAGCCACAGCTCCCACTGCTGCCAGCATTGGGAAAAGAGAAACTCTAAATCTGAAGTACAATTTCTGCCTAAAGTATATCACTTTAGCACACCCCAAAATTGAAACAGTTAAGCCATTGTAAGTTGAGGGTCTACTGATGTAGGTTTTTTTATGTCCCTTAAAAGTTGCTCTCACTCACTAGTCTGGAGCATTTACTGCTTGCCAGGGAATTTTAAGTTCCATGTGAAGCATCTGGAAGACTAGTTTTTACACTAAGAAGAAAATGGAACATGTAAAATGTTTTCTTTTAAAGAGGAAGTACATGTGACTATTTAAACTATATTTTATATTTGAAATACCTTTATGACATTTGAAGTTCCTTGACCAAAATAACCTGCCCTCCCCACCCTTTCACTTAGCCTGAGTCTGAAAACTGTTGTGGGGGACTTCACACCCAGCTATCAAAGAACACAGAATTACATGGCTGCTATTGAAGTATATGGCCTTGTCTGAAAGCTGCAGCACCTTAATGTCTGTGTTGTATGCATGCTAAGTGTGCACTGATCTAACCCAGACATGACTCATCAGTTTTTCTGAACTAAGTTGTGTCAGAGATGAACCATCTGCTCAAGGAAACTTCTTAGCAGAGATGGAGAAGCATGCATGCACTCTGGTTACCCATGGGAACCGCCAGCAGTGCTCTGACTGCAGTAAGTCTGCCCTTGATATCTTCCAGCACTCGGTGGAATTTGCAGTTCAATTCTGCATCAGGTGCCACAGACTTACTGCACTGTTGGAACTGCAGTAACTTCACTGTTGATATCTCTGTGCGCTTGGTAGATTTTGTGGCTGAATTTTGCCGTGGAAGCCACAGTTCTTCACAACATTCCTAATGGTTTTCAAGTACAATGAAATACACTACCAAGAATTCACCCTGCCATTGGAGTTGATTGAATGTAATCACTAGCATGTGCTTCTGTGAATTCTCCTTCCTGACATTCTTGTTTGTTTTTTAAAAGGGGATGGGGGAACCAAAGTATATAGGCAAAAAGAGATGGCACGCGGCTAGCCAGTTAAACATCAGCTGTCACCCAAGAAAAGCCTTTAGTTCTTAACCTTCCAAAGGATTCAAGAGTGCAAGCCCTTACCTAGTCAGCCACAGGGAGGAGAGGCAGGCACAGGCAAAGAGACGAAAACCATAGAAAGGGTTGCATTTAAACTGGATTGTTTTAAATTTAAGAAATTTTCATATATCAGAGCACTTAAAGCATTATCGGGCACCAAAAATTTACCTTCTGTAAATATCAGCTACGTTAGGTAATATTTATTTTATATATTCCTATGGAAAAACAATGATCATTGCAATGTTGACATTTGTGATAATTTGCCAGTCTTTATATCTTAACTTATTATGATTTAATCACTTAAAATTGGTACTTTGTCTTTTGATTTGTAGGAAAATAACAAATGTGAGAAATTTCCAACTGTATCATGAGATTCGGTTGTGTTTTATATAGAGTTAAAGCCAGTGCACTCTTGGATTTCTCAGGAGCATTGCAAGGCAAAAAGAAAAACCTCTAAATAAAAATGATTTAAGTTGGCCGTGTCTTCATCCACAATAAAAACACTTGGGAAACAGCTGCTGGCGTCTCTTTAGGGGGAGAAATGACTTCCACGTATTGCCTCTGCTGATTGCTGACTCAGTCTTCATCCACTGCAGGACATTTACTGTCAGGATTCAATTTGAGCCTTGGATGTTAAATAGGGACTACTTAAAAGACTTGAGGATTGTGTGTGAAAGGAGGGTCTGGGGGTTTAGCTGAATATTCCTTTTCCCTTCAGAGAGAGTAGTGTGGATCACTGGTCACTTAGTCTTTCTCCAAGGTAGTTAGTACATCTTCATTTTCTCTTAGACATAGAACTTATTTTTTTTTATCATTTTTTTATTTGAATTAGAGACAAGATTGTTTTACATGAATATCCCAGTTCCCTTCTCTCTCCTGCCTTCCCCTAACACCCTCCCCAACTAAAGCCCTACCTATCACATACCCTTTCTTCTATTCTTCCGGACTCAACCTTTCTGCTCCCTCATGACCGCTGCATCCTTCCTCTTCTTCCCTTCTCATTCTCGTAGTTCCCTACCCCCTCTTCCTGTGCTCTCAATTTGCTCAGGATCCTTTCCCCTTCTCCAGGGGACCATGTATGTCTCTCTTAAGGTCCTCCTTGTTTACTAGCATCTCTGGCGGTGTAGATTGTAGGCTCATAGAACCTATTTTTAAGAATAATTTATTTTATGTGCATTGGTGTAAAGGTGTCAGATCCCTTGGACCTGGAGTTACAAACTCTTGTGAACTGCCATGTGGGTGCTGGTAACTGAACCTGGGTCCTCTGGAAGAGCAGCCAGCGCTCTTAACTACTGAGCTATCTCTCCAGCCCTGATAGAACCTATTTTTAATTCGTGTAATAACATTATTGGAAGAGTTTTCTTTTTTTTTAATTTGACAGCTGAATTGGAGTTACGAATTTCACTCTTCTTGTGTGACTTTTAACGAAATTACTTTGAGGGCCTAATTTTTCTCACATCTGAAGTATACCCACCATGACAGTCTTATAGTTACAAACGACCACTGACACATTTGTTCATCTGTGCATTACATGAGTCATTTTACTGCCATTGAATTGAGGAAGCAGGAACTGTTCGGGGTTTGACTAGAGTGAGGTGTATAGAAGGGTGAGAACAAAGCCTTTCGCAGAGTGGTGGGGGGCAAGTGGAGGTTGTGTTGGTAGGCAGCTTTGCTGACGTTAGGGTGGAGAGTCATTTAAAGCAGAGAGACTGTAGGTGCTGTGGGAAGGGCAATGGGGAGCCCAAGAGAAAGGACAGCAGCGGGGAGATTGGCCCTCAGGTGGGAGAGACTCCCCCTGGACAGGGGTGAAGAAGAGGGGTACAGACAGCAGAGGTGTGTTGTGGGAAGTCTCTGAGAAGACCTGAGAAAGGTCTGTTCTGAGGCTTGAGCCAAGTGGGTGAGAGACACTCGGGGTCACACATGTTGAGAGCTAGAGGGCCTTGATTTGGGACTGGCAGGCAAATGGGAGGAGCAAACCCTGAAGGAAGCAAGCTAGTAACTAAATGTCAACAACAGCCAGTGGTTCCCACCCTGACCGGTTCTAGTGGCTTCTAGTGGAGTACAGGATGTTAGCAGCTGGACCTTGCCCTCCTGTCCCTGACTTGGGTCATGTGAATGGAGATGTCACTGAGGGTTTTAAGCACATTGTCAAGACTGTGCACATCCTATAAATTAATAATCCTTTATTATTGCAACAATATTTGGCTTGGAGATGGGGACAGTTTAAAAATGTTACTTAGATCACTTAAGGCAAACATGTGAACCCTTGGTTGGTTTTCAGCGTTGGCTCCTAACGTGGAATCATTCCTTTTAGTCTTGCCGGGTTAAGATGTCAATAAGTTCCCTGTAATGACGCCTAACTGAGAATTTTCAGCTGTCTTTTTACACATTCTTTTTCAGCTTCAGCAGCCTTTAATTCAGTTCACTATTTCTGGCCCTCAGTTCCGTCTCAGTGATTTGAAGTATTTGGCTGAATTTCATATAAAGTCTGTTAAATTTGTTTCTAGATAGCCCAGCAGTCCAAGGTGCATTTTTTGTTGTTGTTGTCACTTTGGAATAGAAGGCATGTTTAGATGTTGAAGACATGTGAGTTCTCTGAGTGCAGGATTGGTCTCTACCCTTGAGTCACAGTGACATGTGTGTGTCCTTAACCGTACCCACTTCCAGAGGGCACATCCCCACAGCTAGGGAAGGGAGATATCATTTCTTTGAAAGAGCAAGGAACAAAGCTGAATAATTGGCCTTGTGTTCCCTGTGCGACACCTGTGAGCCCCTTAGCCAAGTTTGTTTTCAGGTACTTTATAGAATAAAAGGGACCATCAGGATACAATTATAAGTTGTTTTTATTACAGTTTAGCTTATTTTGTATGTGTGTGGGGTGCACGTGTGTGAACTCCAGGACAGCACGTGGGAGTTCTCTTTCCCATCATGTGGATCAAACTGAAGTTAATCAGGCTGACAGTAATCACCTCTCCCTCCTGAGCCATCCCCTCACTGGTTTGTAAAATTCTAAATGGACGAGTTAATTTTTTATGTTTTAAAACTTACATGGGGGGGAGGGGTGTTTAGTCTTTTGAAATTTCAAAAAAGTCTTCTTAAAGCATTTCCACATCTGGTACACTTGCTAACGGAGCCTTAGATTCATTTGTTCAGCTGTATCTCTGCTCGCTCGGGATGGTGCTTAGTAGTTGTGGCACCTGTGCTGAAAAAGTAGTTAGTTGAGTTAAGTCTTCACTGCACAGCTACTTTCCGGGCGTTGGTGGTGCACGCCTTTAATCCCAGCACTCGGGAGGCAGAGGCAGGCTGATCTCTGTGAGTTCGAGACCAGCCTGGTCTCCAGAGCGAGTGC